CAATGACCTAATAAAAAGCAAGAGCCATTATAGACTCAAAGAACATTCTCCACTTGCCAACAAGCCCACAGGCATGGCTGGCCTTCTGAGAGCTGAGAAGGGAAGTGCAGGCCATGAGCTAGTCCCTGGAGGACAGATGAGGCCAGGAAGGGCCTGTCCATAGTGGTGCCAACCCTATTCTGTGATGGTGGGACATGCCAGCATCACAAGGCAAGTCCTCCTGATGTGAAAGCCAAGAAGGATGAAATCCCCACAGAGACGGGGGAGGGAAAAGATGAAGTGCCGAACAGGGGTCATTCCCTCCCTGCTCTTCTCAGATGGTTCACAGGCACCCCGAAATGATGGTGAGCCTTGCAGACCTCGCTTCTTCCTGCACGGGCTAAGAACATCTGAGCGACCGTGTGAAGTCCATCTTGGAGTCCCTGTGTGTAGACTGGTGGGGAGGGTCAGCTGTCATTTAGCAGATCTCCACACACTCACAAGGCAACTGGGGAGCCCAGGGGGTCTCCTCCCTCCCACCAGAATCAGGGAAAGTTTCACAGTGGAGTCCTGAAGGATGCTTAGGCTCTGGCTAGGTCTGATGAGAGAACCCAGCTTTCTAGGAAGGTGCTAACAAGGGTGAAGGCTTGGCGGCCATCAGAGAGCAGTGTGGCTGGCCAGGGGACTTGGGTAGCAGAGTAGACACAGATAAGACCTTCTGAAGAGCCAGACTCTCCCCTCCCAGACCCCAGAGACCACAGACATGCCCCGAAACCTACCTTGGACAGGAACCAACCTGCAGACCCCCCCTTGTTGTTGTGGCCCACATTGATCTTCATCAGCTGCCCCAAATCTGGGGCATCCAACATGAACTTGTCTTCAGCTCCCTTTTCAAAGTTGTCCTTTTCATTTTCCAGCCTACGCTCTCCTGTAGGCACAGAGGCAAGACAGTCACAAAAGACCGGAAGAGAAGAAAGATCCAACTCCAAGCCTCCATGGTCCCTCCACTGAAAGAACTCTAGCAAAGTCCAGGGCGGCTCCCCACTGAGATCTAAGGGCTCCTTACATTCCTCCAGTCTCTGGCAAGGCAAGGGTTGGCCTCCCGTGTGGCTGGTGCCCAGGTCCCATAGTGGGACTTTTGGTTTCTGCCCTTGTCTGGAGCTCTTATCCCAGTCAACCTATTTGTACCCACATCCGTAGACCCAAAGTTCTGCCTTGCTGTTCCCTATTATTCATCCTGATCGGGAACATTGACCATGGCACTTGGCAGAAGGCCTGTGACCGGGACCCTGATATCAGCTTCAGACTTCCTTAGAGCTGGCTCCTTTTCTACAAAACAGTGCCAAATGCTATTATCAGACACTGCTGGTTGTTTAACATGAATTTTTTATGCTATTCCTCACCACAATCCAAGAAGGAGATACTATTAACTCCATCTCACAAATGAAGAAAAGCTGAATACCTTGCCAAAAGGCTCATGGGTAATAAGCAAAGAGGCAGGACTCTATTCTCTCTTGTTCCTCCTGCTTTGCAATTTTCCATTCCACGTTTCCATGATTATGGGGGTGCCGGTCAGATTCGCCTCACCACCCAGTCTAACCACCGACTTTTTTGTTTAAACCATCTTGTGTTCTTTCTTTTCTAAAATTTAGTTATCTATTTTTTTCCTCAAATTTTACATTGTGATGTTGAAAC